TGTACTGCTGCTTAATAAGTGTCCTATATAGGGTATAAAATGGGATGGGTTGCACCTCCATAATTTGTAGTTGGAAGCTGTACTCATTGCACCTTTATGTGAAGAATATAGTAAACAAGTCTATTTGCCTTCTCCATGGTCAGCTTCACAATAGTTTTCCATTCTTTGATTTTAATGCCCACTTAAATTCTCCTTTCGCTGCCACCTTAAGAAGAAGACGCTGTGCTCTACAGGAATTAGAAATCCTTACATATGCTCCAGCTTTCTGTAAGATGTTGAGAAGAAGTGTTGATGCAGGATTTGAATAGTATAATGTAATAATTCTCCTACATGCTCGGCAATTTAATCTGCTGAATAAGTGACTATCTTGTAGAACAGCTTATGTTTATTAAGCACTGATTTCTTTCCTGGGAAAACATGTTCTGCAGCTTTGCCTCACATGCTTCTCACATTGACGGGAATTGAACTGCCCTTCTTCCGCAGGACGTCCCATTATGTTTAATAATCTCTAATCTTATAACATGCAAACCTTCTGCCATATTTTACATGTCCCAATATTTCTTTTAAAGGAGCTTAGTCGACAGGAATATTCACGAGTATGTCCTATTATTTTTTTATTACTGAAAGAAACTTCCCATAAATTAAAGTGAATCTATAATACTAATGTGAAGTTATATACAAAATGTGAATGTGGTCAGCTTCACAGAAATAATATTAATGACATATGTAAATGTTTTAAATATCTAATTGATGTTTCTAATTTTAATAATATGCATGTTCAGGCAGAGGCCATATTTGATTAAATATGGCCAGGAGGGAGCCACAATATAATTCAGTAATTAAACAGAGAAAAAAACTACTTTGTGCCTACGCTGATGTGTTGGTTTTTTTGGAGTAACTGGACAGTTCTCTTTTTTCAACATATGATACAGCAGTTCTTTTATCATTGTGAGATATGATTTACCCAAAATGAGTGGAGATATATTTACACCCACATATATAAAGTATATACAGTATAACTTTAATCTTCTAATCTTTTTTATCAAGGGTTTTTTCATTTTTTTTTTAAACAGAAAAAAAATTTGTACATAACATGCATGCTTTGAAATCTCCATCATCAATAAGTAGAAGCATAGTTCATGAGACCTTCTTGGAAATATGTATGGTATTAGATATACAAGTATAATATGCATTACTGTGTATTTTCAAATTAAATAAAAAGTATCATTTCTATTTAGTCATGGAGAATAAATAGGCGCACGGAGACTAAACAGGCTCACTAAACAGGCACGTGACACCTCCAGTGTCTCCAGCTTTCAGCGTTGGTTCCTTACCTTACCTGGTCTAGTAACAAGACAAGGCCACAAAGTGGCCTAAAGACTAAATTGATGATAGCTCCCAGTCCTCTGGGTGAACAGAAACTTGTCCAGATATGTTATGGTTAGGGTTTGAACCTTTTAACAGTGACAGGGAATAGGACAAGGTTTCTAGCAACTAGTCAATTACTGGGTTGTCAAAGAAGAGAAAAGTAGTTGGTCACAGGCAACAAAGGAGCAGATGATTTTTCTGAGAGTATAAATTTTAACTAGACAGGATATAAGGGCTTCCCCAATGTGGAGCTGAAAGGCAACAACAAACCTTTACAGCACAGCTTCCTGCCTGTGTCTTTTGATGAGGGAGCCAAAAAAGGATAAGAAAAAACAAAAGGCAGAGGAATACAAGTTGCCAAAGGCCTCAAGATGGCAGACCATCATATCCCTCTGAACAAAATGACTGAAGCACTAGATAAAAGTATAATTTTCCAAAGTCCTGCCAATGCTTGTTTATGTATACCCTGTTCCAGCTGGAGTATTAAACATCGCCTGTTCTAGGCAACAAAGAATTCAGTCACTTATCTGGTGCCTCTTCCAAAGCCTAAGAATAATGGACATGCTAACATACAGCCAGTGCCTTTTCCAGCTGATGATAACAAAGGGTTCACCATACCACAGAATGTTCCTTTTCCTTCCAAAACATTTACAAATTCATCAATGGACAGATGAGTCATCTTCCAGCAGCTGAAAATAAAAGATTCACCAAAACAATGCTGGAAGCTCTTCCCACCAACTTTCAATATATGATGGCACCTTTAAATAGAACAAATGCCAAAAATGTACTTTTGATTATTTTTCCATTACAAGCAGGTAATTGCAGATTTATTATTAAATTTTTCTAAAAAGTGACAGGTAGCTTGTCTTAGAAACATGCTGGCTACCTTTAGCAACCAATCAGTTCTAATTGTTAGTCATTAACTGCATGAAATACGAAACCAAAGATTTAAGGGATGTTAGATATTGGTATATTATTTGATAGTTTATTGGAATTGGAAAGAAAATGTATTGCCCACAATGCCCAACCAAGATAGGATATTTAATATAAACTATTAAAAGTGTGTCAGATCAAGAATGAGCAATGTTTGGATTATTCCAAATTATATTAAAAAATTGTTTTGATGGGTAAGATGTGCAGGAGAGCAATGCAGAGAGTATAACATGGAGTAATATGTATAGCAGAGAAGTCAAGATCAGACTTCAAGTAGAGTTTCTCCTGTGTGGAGTGATATTCCCAATCAAATGCTTATGGAGTCAGTGATGCTATCAATAAGTCTGGGTGATAAAGGTCGACTATCGGGCATTTGTAGTAATGAGTATTGGATAATATTATTTCATCTGTGAAAAGCACATCACTAAATCAAACTGCAAGGTTTTCTGTCCATATTAGGTCTAGCTGTGTTAATCAGTTATTCTTATTTTCCACACCAGATGTTTTTTTTCTTTTTCTGGATTATGCATTATTTCTCAATTTGCTTTTTTTTCCTCATCATTTCTAGATTAGAAATATCATCCACAACTGATAAAGAAAAAAACATCCTACACCATATAACAATCCAAATTCTTTCTGCAACCTATCAGCAGCTCTAACTCATTTGTTACCTCAAAAATTGCCAGCTTTTATGGTTATGATTTCCTCATCCCAACTAATCTATGGATAAGCCATATACATGTAGTAAGTGTAGAGACCTGCTAAACTTTAAATAATGTGTAGCCATACACTGCACACTTGTAACAATGCTAGCAAATTAAAGTCAACCCGATCCTACCTAAAAAGTGCCTAGGGTAACAACTTTGAATTTAACCTGTGGTGCCTGTAAGCCATTGGGTCAATCTTCAAATTGATCCTTTTGTGTCAGGAATGGATTCAGCACTGGTGGTGGGACTCTCCTGCCGTGTGGGCTGTAGTACCAGAGCTGACCAGCGGGTGCTCTCAGCACTGGTGGTGGGACTCTCCTGCCGTGTGGGCTGCAGTACCAGAGCTGACCAGCGGGTGCTCTCAGCACTGGTGGTGGGACTCTCCTGCCGTGTGGGCTGCAGTACCAGAGCTGACCAGCGGGTGCTCTTAGCAGCCAGAAGCTCACAATCAGCCAAACCTGGGGCTGATTACAGAAAGGTGTATATAAGGCATGACCAGGCCTGTGCTCTGGGCCTTGGTGTATGTTTTCCCATGAGCCCCTGTATCCTGTTCCTAGTTCCTGTGAGAAGATACCTTGTTGCCGACCCTGCCTGATCCTGATTCCTGTTGACCGTCTCCTGTTCTGACTACTGGCTCATCCCTGACCATCCTTCTGCCTGATCCTCTGTACTGCGCTGTCCGTGAGTTACTGAACCCGGCTTGTGACCTTGACCATTCTCTGCCTGCTCCTTTGATACCTTGCTGCCCGCACGTTGCTGACTTGGCCCGTCTGACCACGCTCACTACTCTGCCATCCATCCATCCTGCACGGATCCAGCCGTACCTGCACATACCTCTGGCGGATCCCTCTATCACTAGCAGGTGTACTCAGGGGCCGCGACCTGGTTCCTGTCTGCTCCAAGTCCATCCCCACCATCAGGGGCCCTGGTGAATAGCAGACTGGGACTTAGACTCCACGCCCTGGGAATCCTGCCCTGGGGACCGCTAGAGGTACCACCAGGCAGTCGTTACAGAACCCTACGGCCGGCCTGACCATTCCACCTCTCCAGCCCTGACTACGCCTGTGTTCCTGCACCTCCTAAGATTAGTGGAAGGTTAGTTTGCTCACTGTGCGTTTATATATATATATATCTGGGTGGCTAATAATAACCTGTATTATACTATACCTGAAACCTGCGTTTCCCTGTGTCAGTCCACACCTTTCTGGTCACTCCTTGATTCCTGACATCACACCAAGGCCTTTCCTGACCAGAAGTGGCTGCACAGGGAAGCCATCTTGACTTGTCGTGAAGGATGCATCCTGATGAGGTTATATATTTGTCTATGCTAGTCTTTGATGACAGAGAATATGCCTATAAGACTCTGCGGGAGTATACCCGGATCAGCTGCTAGAGTGCATACGGGTCGCTCCTTCCCTAGTAGGTCAGGACCTAGAGCTCTCTGAGGTGCAACCATTGATTCAGGCTTGTATTGAGTTGGCTTCATCTAGTACCCCTGAAAGCAGGGATGAATTTCTTCCTCCATTCAGGGCGAGTCAAATAATATCACTGGTATGGTTGTTGGAGGATGATCCGGATTGCTTCTTGGAGCATTATTCAGCATATTCACCCACAGGTGCTAAAGAAGTGTATAAACGCAGTGCAAACTTTGATCAGACAGGCCTTGTGTAAGCTGAGCGTTGTCCAACCCTTACTGCAGACATGGTCAGACTTGTTACACCCAGCCTCAATCAGCTTGCAATGAACCAGTCCTGTTTCTCATCATTCCTCTGCTCAAAGCTCTTTTCCTGCATTCCCGACAGCACCCCCAGTGACAGCCCCCCCAGTGACAGCCCAGTATACCCAGCAATCTGCCACATGTCGGTACCCTACTCCCACTCACTGTACCATCCTGCCAGTTGACTCGGTGCCAGTTGACTCGGTGCCCGCTGTCGTACCAGTTGACTTGGTGCCAGTTGACTCGGTGCCCGCTGTCGAGCCAGATGACTTGATGCCTGATGATTCGGTGCCAGTTGACTTGGTGCCCGCTGTCGTACCAGTTGACTCGGTGCCAGTTGACTCAGTGCCCGCTGTTGAGCCGGATGACTTGATGCCTGATGACTCGGTGCCCGTTGTCGTACCAGTTGACTTGGTGCCAGTTGACTCGGTGCCCGCTGTCGAGCCAGATGACTCGATGCCAGTTGACTCGGTGCCTGCTGTCGTGCCAGTTGACTCGGTGCCCGCTGTCGTGCCAGTTAATTTGGTGCCTGCTGTCGAGCTTGGTGACCCGGTACCCGCAGTTCTGCTAGAAGGCTTGGTGCCCGCTGACGTGCCCGGTGACTCTGTGCCCGCTGTCGTGCCAGATGACTCGGTGCCCGCTGACGTGCCTCTGCCCGCTACACAGCCCGACATGCCAGCCCCTGATGTCCAGTTAAAACTGGCCAATAACTGATACCCAGCCTGCTCCTGGAAATCCTGTGCCCAGTGACCTGCCTTCCTTGATTCTCCTACACAAAGAGAAGTCTACCAGCAGGAAACCCAGCCAGCCGGTTTACTCCGGCAGTAGGATATTCAGCCAGTTACCGGACCCGGGCGGTGGAACATTTTGACCACTAAGGACTGTTTGGAGCGTCCTGAGGCCGCTCCTTGAGGGGGGGTTCTGTCAGGAATGGATTCAGCACTGGTGGTGGGACTCTCCTGCCGTGTGGGCTGTAGTACCAGAGCTGACCAGCGGGTGCTCTCAGCACTGGTGGTGGGACTCTCCTGCTGTGTGGGCTGCAGTACCAGAGCTGACCAGCGGGTGCTCTCAGCACTGGTGGTGGGACTCTCCTGCCGTGTGGGCTGCAGTACCAGAGCTGACCAGCGGGTGCTCTTAGCAGCCAGAAGCTCACAATCAGCCAAACCTGGGGCTGATTACAGAAAGGTGTATATAAGGCATGACCAGGCCTGTGCTCTGGGCCTTGGTGTAATGTTTTCTAGAGATGAGCGAAGTATTCAAAAATTCGATTCGACTGATTCGGCGAATTCGTGGAAAAATTTCGATTCGAGTCGAATATATTCGCTGTGAATTTAACTTAAAAAAGGGTGTTTCTAGGCTTCAGAGAGACTTAATATTAGTGCAGAACACTGTACCTTTAATTTAAATGCCCTTGGAGTCTGCTGGGGAAGAGAAATAATACTGTCAGTCAGTATGACATGCAGATGAGTGCCGTCGATCTTAGAATCACCGCACACTTCACTCATTTGGGCAGTCACGGGGCCAAAACCAGAGTGTGGAGCCACAGTGTGGCGGTGGAGGCAGCAGCAATGGGAGGCCATACAGCACCCTATGACAAAAATGGAAACCACCAGCAGTGTGAGGAGACCTGAAAGTGGCACATGGCAGAGTGTGGCGATAGAGACAGCAGCAATGGGAGGCCGTACAGGGACCCATGACACACTCTGGACCTGGCAGCAGCATGAGGAGGCGGTACAGGGGCCCATGACAGATTACGGGCCCTGGCAGCAGCATGAGGAGTCGGTACGGGGGCCCATGGCAGATTACGGGCCTGGCAGCAGCAATGGGAGGCCGTACAGGGACCCATGACACACTCTGGACCTGGCAGCAGCATGGGGAGGTGGTACAGGGGCCCATGACAGATTACGGGCCTGGCAAGCAGCATGAGGAGTCGGTACGGGGGCCCATGACACACTCTGGACCTGGCAGCAGCATGAGGAGGCGGGTACAGGGGCGGATGACAGATTACGAGCTTGGCAGCAGCAACTTGGACAGGAGGACGTTCAGCTTCTGCACCGTCGGGTGCGTGCTCGCAAACTGTTGTCTCTTGGAAACGGATTCCAAGAAAGACTGCTGACGGAATCCGTGAAGAGGAGTAGCAGGAGAAGGAGCATCTGAACGAGCGGAATATGCCAACAAGCGACAACAGGGGCCCATGACAGATTAGGGGCCTGCAGCAGCATGAGGAGTCGGTACGGGGGCCCATGGCAGATTAGGGGCCTGGCAGCAGCTATGGGAGGCCTAATCTGCCAGCACCCTATGACAAAAAATGGAACCCACCAGCAGTGTGAGGAGACCTGAAAGTGGCACATGGCAGAGTGTGGCGATGGAGACAGCAGCAATGGGAGGCCGTACAGGGACCCATGAGAGACTCTGGACCTGGCAGCAGCATGAGGAGGCGGTATAGGGGGCCCATGGCAGATTAGGGGCCTGGCAGCAGCTATGGGAGGCCCGTAATCTGCCAGCACCCTATGACAAAAAATGGAACACACCAGCAGTGTGAGGAGACCTGAAAGTGGCACATGGCAGAGTGTGGCGATGGAGACAGCAGCAATGGGAGGCCGTACAGGGACCCATGAGAGACTCTGGACTTGGCAGCAGCATGAGGAGGCGGTATAGGGGCCCATGGCAGATTAGGGGCCTGGCAGCAGCTATGGGAGGCCCGTAATCTGCCAGCACCCTATGACAAAAAATGGAACACACCAGCAGTGTGAGGAGACCTGAAAGTGGCACATGTTTGGGGCATGATTCATGGCGGATTTAGTCAGTTGTGTCAGGAACTGGTGGTTTGAAATCCAGGCTAATCCACGCCTGATTCATTTTCACAAACGTGAGTCTCTCCACACTTTGGGTGGACAGTCGTGTCCTCCGCGGAGTTGCAATACCTCCTGCCGCACTAAACACGCGCTCCGATGCCACGCTACTGGCCGGGCATGACAGCCTTTCAAGGGCAAATTCAGCTAGTTGGGGCCAAAGGTCAAGTTTCGTTGCCCAGTAGTCAAGGGGATTGTCTACCTCGGTTGGCAGGGTGCTGTCCAAGTAGGCCTAAGCCTGTTGTTTGAGGTCCTGCTCCAGGTCCACCTGATGCACCTGCTGCTGCTGCTGCTGCTGCTGCGGCTGGTTAGTAGTTTTCCTCACTGCGCTGGTGAAGAAAGCTACTCATCATCGACTGCAGACTGAGGCAGCCGCTGCTGGTGGAGCTGCCACTGCTCCTACCACCCCACCCCTCCCCTGCTGCCATGGCAGCGGACGCGAGCGCACAGGGCCCACAGTGTCTGAGGATGGACGTTGGCGCAGACAGGCAGAGACCAGCTGACTACATAGGTGGTTTTTATAGTACGTTATTTTGGCCTCCCTCTCAGCAGGTGTGAAAAAGGCCACCATTTTTGAACGGTAGCGAGGGTCCAACAAGGTGGACAGCCAAAAGTCATCCCTCTGTCTGATGGTTATTATTCGGCTGTCGCTACGCAAGCAAGCGAGCATGCTATGGGCCATTTGTGCCAAGGAATGCGAGGGACTCCCTGCCTCCATCTCCACAGCATACTGCCACGGTGCGTCTGGGTCCTCTGTCTCCTCTTCCTCCTCCTCTACCAGATGCTCCTGCTCCTCCACTCCTGTCCGCTGAGTGGAAAAACCACCCATTTCACTCAATAATTCCTGAGCACCAATGTCCTCCTCTACCTCCTCCTCTTCTTCCTGTCCTGCCCCCACAGGGGTCATGTGGCGTTGAGATCTGTGCGCCACGTCTACCGCACCCTGACCAGCCATTGTTAACAGCATTTGTTCCAGGACGTGCAACAGAGGAATGACGTCGTTCATCCCATAGTCCTGCCGACTCACGAATAGCGTGGCCTCCTCAAAGGGCTGAGCAAGCGCAGGTGTCACGCATGAGCTGCCAATGGCTGACATCTAAGTTACACAGGGAGTACCTTTATCCGCTTTTAACATCAGGAAATCTGTGATGGCCTTTTGCTGTTCGTAAAGGCGGTCTAACATATGTAGGGTTGAATTCCACCTTGTTGCAACGTCACAGCATGAGGAGTCGGTATAGGGGCCCATGGCAGATTAGGGGCCTGGCAGCAGCTATGGGAGGCCCGTAATCTGCCAGCACCCTATGACAAAAAATGGAACACACCAGCAGTGTGAGGAGACCTGAAAGTGGCACATGGCAGAGTGTGGCGATGGAGACAGCAGCAATGGGAGGCCGTACAGGGACCCATGAGAGACTCTGGACCTGGCAGCAGCATGAGGAGGCGGTATATAGGGGCCCATGGCAGATTAGGGGCCTGGCAGCAGCTATAGGAGGCCCGTAATCTGCCAGCACCCTATGTCAAAAAATTCAACACACCAGCAGTGTGTGAGGAGACCTGAAAGTGGCACATGGCAGAGTGTGGCGATGGAGACAGCAGCAATGGGAGGCCGTACAGGGACCCATGACAGACTCTGGACCTGGCAGCAGCATGAGGAGGCGGTATATAGGGGCCCATGGCAGATTAGGGGCCTGGCAGCAGCTATAGGAGGCCCGTAATCTGCCAGCACCCTATGTCAAAAAATTCAACACACCAGCAGTGTGAGGAGACCTGAAAGTGGCACATGGCAGAGTGTGGCGATGGAGACAGCAGCAATGGGGCCGTACAGGGACCCATGACAGACTCTGGACCTGGCAGCAGCATGAGGAGGCGGTATATAGGGGCCCATGGCAGATTAGGGGCCTGGCAGCAGCTATAGGAGGCCCGTAATCTGCCAGCACCCTATGTCAAAAAATTCAACACACCAGCAGTGTGAGAGAGACCTGAAAGTGGCACATGGCAGAGTGTGGCGATGGAGACAGCAGCAATGGGAGGCCGTACAGGGACCCATGACAGACTCTGGACTTGGCAGCAGCATGAGGAGGCGGTATAGGGGCCTATGGCAGATTAGGGGCCTGGCAGCAGCTATAGGAGGCCCGTAATCTGCCAGCACCCTATGTCAAAAAATTCAACACACCAGCAGTGTGTGGAGACCCTGAAAGTGGCACATGGCAGAGTGTGGCGATGGAGACAGCAGCAATGGGAGGCCGTAAGGGGACAGACTCTGGGGACCCATGACAGACCTCTGGACTTGCAGCAGCATGAGGAGGCGGTATATAGGGGCCCCTATGGCAGATTAGGGGCCTGGCAGCAGCTATGGGAGGCCCGTAATCTGCCAGCACCCTATGTCAAAAAATTCAACACACACCAGCAGTGTGAGGAGACCTGAAAGTGGCACATGGCAGAGTGTGGCGATGGAGACAGCAGCAATGGGAGGCCGTACAGGGACCCATGAGAGACTCTGGACTGGCAGCAGCATGAGAGAGGGCGGTATATAGGGGCCCATGGCAGATTAGGGGCCTGGCAGCAGCTATAGGAGGCCCGTAATCTGCCAGCACCCTATGTCAAAAAAATTCAACACACCAGCCAGCAGTGTGTGAGGAGACCTGAAAGTGGCACATGGCAGAGTGTGGCGATGGAGACAGCAGCAATGGGAGGCCGTACAGGGACCCATGAGAGACTCTGGACCTGGCAGCAGCATGAGGAGGCGGTATATAGGGGCCCATGGCAGATTAGGGGCCTGGCAGCAGCTATAGGAGGCCCGTAATCTGCCAGCACCCTATGTCAAAAAATTCAACACACCAGCAGCAGTGTGAGGAGACCTGAAAGTGGCACATGGCAGAGTGTGGCGATGGAGACAGCAGCAATGGGAGGCCGTACAGGGACCCATGACAGACTCTGGACTTGGCAGCAGCATGAGGAGGCGGTATATAGGGGCCTATGGCAGATTAGGGGCCTGGCAGCAGCTATAGGAGGCCCGTAATCTGCCAGCACCCTATGTCAAAAAATTCAACACACCAGCAGTGTGAGGAGACCTGAAAGTGGCACATGGCAGAGTGTGGCGATGGAGACAGCAGCAATGGGAGGCCGTACAGGGACCCATGACAGACTCTGGACTTGGCAGCAGCATGAGGAGGCGGTATATAGGGGCCCATGGCAGATTAGGGGCCTGGCAGCAGCTATAGGAGGCCCGTAATCTGCCAGCACCCTATGTCAAAAAATTCAACACACCAGCAGTGTGAGGAGACCTGAAAGTGGCACATGGCAGAGTGTGGCGATGGAGACAGCAGCAATGGGAGGCCGTACAGGGACCCATGACAGACTCTGGACTTGGCAGCAGCATGAGGAGGCGGTATATAGGGGCCCATGGCAGATTAGGGGCCTGGCAGCAGCTATGGGAGGCCCGTAATCTGCCAGCACCCTATGTCAAAAAATTGAACACACCAGCAGTGTGTGAGGAGACCTGAAAGTGGCACATGGCAGAGTGTGGCGATGGAGACAGCAGCAAATGGGAGGCCGTACAGGGACCCATGACAGACTCTGGACCTGGCAGCAGCATGAGGAGGCGGTATATAGGGGCCCATGGCAGATTAGGGGCCTGGCAGCAGCTATAGGAGGCCCGTAATCTGCCAGCACCCTATGTCAAAAAATTCAACACACCAGCAGTGTGAGGAGACCTGAAAGTGGCACATGGCAGAGTGTGGCGATGGAGACAGCAGCAATGGGAGGCCGTACAGGGACCCATGACAGACTCTGGACTTGGCAGCAGCATGAGGAGGCGGTATAGGGGGCCCATGGCAGATTAGGGGCCTGAGCAGCTATGGGAGGCCCGTAATCTGCCAGCACCCTATGTCAAAAAATTGAACACACCAGCAGTGTGTGAGGAGACCTGAAAGTGGCACATGGCAGAGTGTGGCGATGGAGACAGCAGCAATGGGAGGCCGTACAGGGACCCATGAGAGACTCTGGACCTGGCAGCAGCATGAGGAGGCGGTATATAGGGGCCCATGGCAGATTAGGGGCCTGGCAGCAGCTATGGGAGGCCCGTAATCTGCCAGCACCCTATGTCAAAAAATTGAACACACCAGCAGTGTGAGGAGACCTGAAAGTGGCACATGGCAGAGTGTGGCGATGGAGACAGACAATGGGAGGCCGTACAGGGACCCATGAGAGACTCTGGACCTGGCAGCAGCATGAGGAGGCGGTATAGGGGCCCATGGCAGATTAGGGGCCTGGCAGCAGCTATGGGAGGCCCGTAATCTGCCAGCACCCTATGACAAAAAATGGAACACACCAGCAGTGTGTGAGGAGACCTGAAAGTGGCACATGTTTGAGGCATGATTCATGGCGGATTTAGTCAGTTGTGTCAGGAACTGGTGGTTTGAAATCCAGACTAATCCACGCCTGATTCATTTTCACAAACGTGAGTCTCTCCACACTTTGGGTGGACAGTCGTGTCCTCCGCGGAGTTACAATACCTCCTGCCGCACTAAACACGCGCTCCGATGCCACGCTACTGGCCGGGCATGACAGCCTTTCAAGGGCAAATTCAGCTAGTTGGGGCCAAAGGTCAAGTTTCGTTGCCCAGTAGTCAAGGGGATTGTCTACCTCGGTTGGCAGGGTGCTGTCCAAGTAGGCCCAAGCCTGTTGTTTGAGGTCCTGCTCCAGGTCCACCTGATGCTGCTGCTGCTGCTGGGCTGGTTAGTAGTTTCCTCACTGCGCTGGTGAAGAAAGCTACTCATCATCGACTGCAGACTGAGGCAGCCGCTGCTGGTGGAGCTGCCACTGCTCCTACCACCCCACCCCCCCCCCCTGCTGCCATGGCAGCGGAACGCGAGCGCACAGGGCCCACAGTGTCTGAGGATGGACGTTGGCGCACAAAAGCAGAGACCAACTGACTACATAGGTGGTTTTTATAGTACGTTATTTTGGCCTCCCTCTCAGCAGGTGTGAAAAAGGCCACCATTTTTGAACGGTAGCGAGGGTCCAACAAGGTGGACAGCCAAAAGTCATCCCTCTGTCTGATGGTATTATTATTCGGCTGTCGCTACGCAAGCAAGCGAGCATGCTATGGGCCATTTGTGCCAAGGAATGCGAGGGACTCCCTGCCTCCATCTCCACAGCATACTGCCACGGTGCGTCTGGGTCCTCTGTCTCCTCCTCCTCCTCCTCTACCAGATGCTCCTGCTCCTCCACTCCCTGTCCGCTGAGTGGAAAAACCACCCATTTCACTCAATAATTCCTGAGCACAAATGTCCTCCTCTACCTCCTCCTCTTCTTCCTGTCCTGCCCCCACAGGGGTCATGTGGCGTTGAGAGATCTGTGCGCCACGTCTACCGCACCCTGACCAGCCATTGTTAACAGCATTTGTTCCAGGACGTGCAACAGAGGAATGACGTCGTTCATCCCATAGTCCTGCCGACTCACGAATAGCGTGGCCTCCTCAAAGGGCCTGAGCAAGCGGCAGGTGTCACGCATGAGCTGCCAATGGCTGACATCAAAGTTACACAGGGGAGTACCTTTATCCGCTTGTAACATCAGGAAATCGGTGATGGCCTTTCGCTGTTCGTAAAGGCGGTCTAACATGTGTGTAGGGTTGAATTCCACCTTGTTGCAACGTCGCAGATCAGGCGATGCTGTGCAATTCCGTTCTGCCGCTGCAGCTCAAGGAGGGTGTGCTTTGCGGTGTAGGAATGGCTGAAATGCATGCAAAGTTTACGTGACATTTTAAGGATGTCTTGCAGTGGGATGGTGGATTTTTTAGGAACCGCTTGACAACCAGATTGAACACGTGAGCCATGCATGGCGCATGGCACAACCTTCCTTGACGCAGAGCAGACACCATGTTCTTTCCGTTGTCGGTCAACATGGTTCCGATTTTGAGTTTTGCGCGGAGACAGCCATCTGTCGATTTCTCTGTTCATTACACTGAGAAGTTCCTCCCCTGTGTGACTACGTTCGCCAAGGCATACCAGGTGCAGCACAGCGTGACACCGTTGCGCCCTGCACATGTGATATGCCGGTCGGGTAATGGGACTTGGCACGGGGGTGGCGGCTGAGGACACGGGCGGAAGAAGAGGTGTAGAGGCGGACATCTTTGCCGGACCAAGGACGTGCAAACGTGGAGGCAAAAGCGGCGTGACCTGTCCAAGTTGCTGGTGCGGCTGTGACGGCACCACGTTCACACCCCAGTGGGCCGTAAATGACATGTACTGTCCCTGACCGTAGTTACAGCTCCACACGTCGGCGCTGCCGTGCACTTTTGGCAGAGACCGACATGCTCAAAGACTGGCCCACCATCTCTTTCTACATGTGAATGCAGGGCTGGCACTGCCTTTTTGGCGAAGAAATGACGGGCTTGGCACTCTCCACCACCGCGGCGCGGCACGGCACAAGCCATCATTTCTCGGAAAGGTGCTGAGTCCACCACTTGGAAAGGGAGGGACTGCAGCACCAGCAACTTGGACAGGAGGACGTTCAGCTTTTGCACCGTCGGGTGCGTGCGTGCGCTCGCAAACTGTTGTCTCTTGGAAACGGATTCCAAGAAAGACTGCTGACGGAATCCGTGAAGAGGAGTAGCAGAGAAGGAGCATCTGAACGAGCGGAAGATGCCAACAAGCGACAACAGGGGCCCATGACAGATTAGGGGCCTGCAGCAGCATGAGGAGTCGGTAATGGGGGCCCCATGGCAGATTAGGGGCCTGGCAGCAGCTATGGGAGGCCCGTAATCTGCCAGCACCCTATGACAAAAAATGGAACCCCACCAGCAGCATCTGAACGAGCGGAAGATGCCAACGAGCGACAACTCCCCTCAGCAGAGGTGTTGGAGCCTTGACTGGCTGATGGAGGGCGATTGACGTCAGGTGACGGAGCAAGTAACGGAGCGGGTGATGGAGCGGGGGCTGGGGCGGGCAGAACCGCCGTATCTTTATCACGGTTTTCCCAGGCCACCAAATGGCGACGCTGCATATGCTGCCGCAACGCTGTAGTCCCAACATGGGCCCCCTGGCCACGCTTGACTTTCTGGCCACATAGTCGACATACGGCTACGTTTACTTCCTCGGGCGGCTTGACGAAAAATTGCCACACCGCCGAGTAGTAGGAAACTTTGCCCCCGATACTCCTCACTGGCTGACTGCTGCTTCCTCCGTGCACACCGGCACCACTACTGGCCGTGGTGGTAGGCTGCAGTGGAGCTGGTGCTCTCTACTCCGTGGCCGTTTGGCTCCACTGACACTGCTGCGACCCTGCTGCTGTCTCCTGGGCAACCCACCGACTGTTTCGCTCGCTGCCAAGCTGCCACCCTCTTCTCCTGATGATGCGGAAGAAATTGCCTGATGACGACGAGGCTGCCAAGTGCGATCAACCTCCTCATCATCAAGTAGGGTCTCCGCCTCACTACTAGCCCCCCCTCGGCTGCGTCTGGGTCAGGAGACAGACCTGTCTCTAGACCGGCTACCGAGCCACTCTCCTCGCCACTACTTCTTCGCCTGGCTGCTGAAAAGGCGGATGTCTCCCCCCCCCGTTTCCTGACCGCCCTCTGTTAGCTCTTCCTCACTGTACAGTGGGGCTGAGCCCACAGCATACGATACTACGCTTGGTGAGGGAACACCAAAGGACAGGGGCAGGTAGAGGACACGTGATTTCAGTGGGCTTGGTCCCGGGCCATGCCAACTAACGGTTGTGTCTGACGTACCCACCGACCGTTGGCTGTAGGTGTCAGAGGTGACCTGGGAAGAGGAAGACGACCGAGCCAACCAATCGACGACGGCAGGGTTGTCGGTGGAGACACGACCGCTGGATGACACCGGGAGCACTGGCCTCTGGCTGCGAATAGTGCTGCCTCGACCCCTTCCTCTGCTGCCACGTCTGCTCGCTCCTAAAACATTGCCTCCTCTGCCACTCCTCTGCATGTTGTCTGACATACTCTTTAATTCAACGATTCTGTGTCCCTGAGTAACAATTCTGTGTCCCTGAGTAACAATTCTGTGTCTGTCCCTGAGTAACAATTCTGTGGCCCTAAGTAACGGTTTCTGTGGCCCTCAGTAACAATTCTGTGGCCCTCAGTAACAATTCTGTGTCCCTGATTAACAATTATGTGGCCCTAAGTAACAATTCTGTGTCCCTGTGTAACCCTGTCCCTAATAACGGTTCTGTGTAACAATTCTGTGTCCCTGAGTAACAATTCTGTGTCTGTCCTGAGTAACAATTCTGTGGCCCTAAGTAACAGTTCTGTGGCCCTCAGTAACAATTCTGTGTCCCTGAGTAACCTTTCTGTGACCCTAAGTAACAGTTTCTGTGGCCCTCAGTAACAAATCTGTGTCCCTGAGTAACAATTCTGTTGTGTCCCTGAGTAACAATTCTGTGGCCCAATCTGTGTAAGTAACAATTCTGTGGCCCTAAGTAACAATTCTGTGTCCCTAAGTAACAATTCTTTGGCCCTAAGTAACGGTTCTGTGGCCCTCAGTAACAATTCTGTGTCCCTAAGTAACAATTCTGTGGCCCTAAATAACGGTTCTGTGTCCCTCAGTAACAATTCTGTGTCCCTCAGTAACAATTCTGTGTCTGTCCCTGATTAACGTTTCTGTGGCCCTAAGTAACAATTCTGTGGCCCTCAGTAACAATTCTGTGTCCCTCAAGTAACAATTCTGTGTCTGTCCGTGAGTAACAATTCTGTGGCCCTAAGTAACGGTTCTGTGGCCCTCAGTAACAATTCTGTGTCCCCTGATTAACGTTTATGTGGCCCTAAGTAACGGTTCTGTGGCCCTCAGTAACAATTCTGTGTCCCTGATTAACGTTTCTGTGGCCCTAAGTAACGGTTTCTGTGGCCCTCAGTAACAATTCTGTGTCCCTCAGTAACAATTCTGTGTCTGTCCCTGAGTAACAATTCTGTGGCCCTAAGTAACAATTCTGTGGCCCTAAGTAACAATTCTGTGGTAACCCTAAGTAACGGTTCTGTGGCCCTCAGTAACAATTCTGTGTCCCTGAGTAACAATTCTTTGGCCCTAAGTAACGGTTTGGCCCTCAGTAACAATTCTGTGTCCCTCAGTAACAATTCTGTGTCTGTCCCTGAGTAACCAATTATGTGGCCCTAAGTAACGGTTTCTGTGGCCCTCAGTAACAATTCTGTGTCCCTGAGTAACGTTTCTGTGGCCCTAAGTAACAATTCTCTGGCACTCAGTAACAATTCTGTCTGTCCCTGAGTAACAATTCTGTGGCCCTAACTAACGTTTCTATGGCCCTAAGTAACAATTCTCTGGCACTCAGTAACAATTCTGTCTGTCCCTGAGTAACAATTCTGTGGCCCTAAGTAACAATTCTGTGGCCCTCAGTAACAATTCTGTGTCTGTCCCTGAGTAACAATTCTGTGGCCCTAACTAACGTTTCTGTGGCCCTAAGTAACAATTCTCTGGCACTCAGTAACAATTCTGTCTGTCCCTGAGTAACAATTCTGTGGCCCTAACTAACGTTTCTATGGCCCTAAGTAACAATTCTCTGGCACTCAGTAACAATTCTGTCTGTCCCTGAGTAACAATTCTGTGGCCCTAATAACGTTTCTGTGGCCCTAAGTAACAGTTCTGTGGCCCTCAGTAACAATTCTGTGTCTGTCCCTGAGTAACAATTCTGTGGCCCTAACTAACGTTTCTGTGGCCCTAAGTAACAATTCTCTGGCACTCAGTAACAATTCTGTCTGTCCCTGAGTAACAATTCTGTGGCTCTAACTAGCGTTTCTTTGGCCCTAAGTAACGATTCTGTGGCCCTCATTAACAATTCTGTGTCCCTGAGTAATGCTTCTCTGTCCCTAAGTAACGTTTCTCTGTCCCCAAGTAACGTTTCTGTGGCCCTAACTCTGTCCCTAATACAGAGCGGTCTGCCTCTCTTGAATGACTGGAGTCAAATGAAGAATTCTAAAATGGCCGCTATTTATAGCTCGACCATTACACAGTGCTGGCTGCCTGGCTGCTGATTGGCTAATGCGATCACATGTCATTAAGGAATGCATTATGGGTCAGCGCGCCTTGTCTGCGCGCCTTCCCAGACATCCCCGCTCCGTCGCTGCACATGTCCGCCGCCATTTCAGGAAAAATTTTCGATTCGCGCGTCCGAAGTAGGCTATTTTTCGGATTCGGCGCGAATCGAAAATTTTCCAATATTCGACTCGAATTCCACTTCGACGACTTTGATTCGCTCATCTCTAATGTTTTCCCATGAGCCCCTGTATCCTGTTCCTAGTTCCTGTGAGAAGATACCTTGTTGCCGACCCTGCCTGATCCTGATTCCTGTTGACCGTCTCCTGTTCTGACTACTGGCTCATCCCTGACCATCCTTCTGCCTGCCTTTGTACTGCGCTGTCCGTGAGTTACTGAACCCGGCTTGTGACCTTGACCATTCTCTGCCTGCTCCTTTGATACCTTGCTGCCCGCACGTTGCTGACTTGGCCCGTCTGACCACGCTCACTACTCTGCCATCCATCCATCCTGTACGGATCCAGCCGTACCTGCACATACCTCTGGCGGATCCCTCTATCACTAGCAGGTGTACTCAGGGGCCGCGACCTGGTTCCTGTCTGCTCCAAGTCCATCCCCACCATCAGGGGCCCTGGTGAATAGCAGACTGGGACTTAGACTCCGCGCCCTGGGGAATCCTGCCCTGGGGACCGCTAGAGGTACCACCAGGCAGTCGTTACAGAACCCTACGGCCGGCCTGACCATTCCACCTCTCCAGCCCTGACTACGCCTGTGTTCCTGCACCTCCTAAGATTAGTGGGAAGGTTAGTTTGCTCACTGTGCGTTTTTATATATATATATATCTGGGTGGCTAATAATAACCTGTATTATACTATACCTGAAACCTGCGTTTCCCTGTGTCAGTCCACACCTTTCTGGTCACTCCTTGATTCCTGACATTTTGACACTAGTAAAGTGATGTTACATTTCTCCAAATCAAGATTAAGGCGATCCCTTCTAGACATCAATACTTAACATTTGTGGACTGTGAAGATGTTAACTCTTAGGTCATACATATTATGTATCAGCTTTTAGTTATAGAATAGTGATAGAATAAAAAAAATCATTAATAGTGACATCTAGTCATGATCTGGTGTCAGACTCGGAGATCAGTAGCTATAGCAGTGAAAGAGTTCAAGTCCGGGTTCAAGTCCAGGCCCTGACAAACAGAGTACATTTATCTTTAAGATGGTAATTGTTTTAACTTTAAATTTGTCATTGTTATCCTGGAAGGTTAAGTAGCATGCTATCAGTATGTCATAGTGTCATCCTGGAAGGTTAAGTAGCATGCTATCCTGATAGGTATCAGTATCAGTCAATAGTTCAAGCAAGCCTCCTCCACCTTCATGCTTCAGATCAGCAATTGGGATTCCACACAGTTATCACTTGTTCCACCTCCTTCTTTTCACAAAGTAGCTCAAGTACCACCAAAAGATATGAATGGAATATTTTTCATAACCTACTGAGTGGATACTTAATAGTTCATGTAGGTTAAGTGAATATAAATGTACAAAGTGATGCTAATAAATTAGGCACATGTGTTAAGGGAGGATGTAACAGCGTATACCCAAAGATGGACGCGGTTCAACCATTTTGGCTTCAACCTCCATCTTGGCAAAGGGATTAACCATCCTGACAAATATATTCCTCCCTCCTTAGAGAGGCCCAGCGACATTTGGCCAGTATGTGTGTGAGTTGGGAATGTCACAGGAGGGTCATAGGAGCTATAAAGCCCCCCAAGGGAGCCGGGGCCTCAATGTCCAAAGAACCTACAAATTGTAACACCTCGTAAGAGATAAGGCAAGCTTTCCCAGGAGTTGAAAGAGATTCCAACCTAATAAACCTAGCTCAGCGTAGGTGACAGAATCAGATAAACACTTTTCAAAATCCATTTCTCCCCCTATGTCTCATATCTTAGAATATGAGAGACTTACATAAAAACCGGACCTATCGTCAGATTGGCCACGAGAAGGCGAACAGTTTGATAGGTTGCTAGCATTGTCTTGGATACATAGGAAAACAGAAAAGTAGATCTCATGAACCGTACAGTGTATAATTTCATAATTCATATCTAATCAATCCTCAGACGTGTCTGCATAATAATCTACCCGCGGGTGGAATGTCACTTGTGCAGCTGGAAAGTTATGGGCCAGAATATGAGTTATGGGAGATTTTGGCTCTAGTTGAGGTATCCAACCATACCTACACGCCCTAAACGGGGTATTGGTCCTTGACTTCAGAAACCCTCCCTGCTGGGGACTACAAAATAGGCTGTCAGGCCCAAGAGTGGAGTTGAAGACGTCTCCCATTTTAACATCAATACCATCTGGGGAGACCCGTGCCCTTTTGCTCTGAAATTTGGATCTTTGGCAAGTACCTTAACCCTTTCACCTCTCTCTGATATCTCTTTGCTGTGCTGTTGGTCTCTGTATATTTTTATATATATCTTAATTACATCTTTTTCTGTAAATATTTTTATTGCACCCGTTTGACCTTTTAGTAATAAATCTTTCCTTCTGAAAGCGTTGAACTGTTTCTATAGCGCTTTATTGCAATTTACGAATTCCTGCCTCTAAAGAGAACGCTACTGTGTTTGTTTATCCCTCTGCATAATCGGCCTGCGGTGACCATATATGCAGATGATTATCTCAACCATTTTTGTGTTTTAGCTGATATTGCCGAGTTTCCTCTTTCTCTGTACAAATATGAGGTGGTAGCAGTGTGAAGGGTTAATTGCGTAATTAACCTGACCCAGTAACAATCGCTCAGGCTGCCGGTACATCGATTGTGGTCCAATTAACTGGAAAATCATTGTGCAGGGTGCAGCTGGGTGTGGCATTGTTATGCACGTGACATCGCCTATTGGCTAGTCCTTCGGTTCCCAGTTTGGTGAGAAGGTCTGGGGTCTGACGCCATGATCATGACAGAGGACATGAGAAGCTGATAAAGAATGGGACATGTTCTGCAGTCCTGTCTTGAAGCACTAAGAATTCTGTGAGTAGGAGGTCAAGACCACAGCATTCATTGGTTCCCTGCATAAAGTGGTAATTCCTTAGGGGACAAGTATGAAGTGCTGTTAACATGGCTTGTGGATTCTAACCTGCCCACTAGAGTGCAAACTCCCCTGCTATCCACCTCCAAACAGTTGTAATATGTATAGTATCTGTGTTGTGTACAGTGCTTACATTCCCCTTTTATAGATGACCAAAAGCCACACATATAGGTCCTGGGCCCATAGAGGTTGATTTACTAAAGGCAAATAGACTGTGCACTTTGCAAAGTGCAGTTGCATTCTGCAAGGTCAGTTGCTCCAGAGTTTAGAAAACGAGGTAAAGTTTCACTTTGAAAAGAATACCCAATCATGTGCAACTAAAATAAAAAAAGCAGCATTTTTTCTTGCACATTATTGGATGATGGAAGTCAGCAGAGCTTCTGCTCTTTTACTAAGCTCTAAAGCAACTGCTTTTGCAGAGTGTAACTGCAAAGTGCACAGTTTGCCTTCAGTAAATCAACCCCATAATGTATCCAATTTTTGGAGCTCCTTGCTCCTCTTGTTTCAAAGTGTGTGAACCAATCATGTCCTGTCCCGTTTAACTAATATGCTAATTTTTACAGAAGCACAATACTGGTTGTAGATTCTAGAATAGAAAAGCCATATTAATACTGGTAGCAGG